CATAAAATAACAACTCAACATTCCAACCATAATCAATCCACTAATTACTAATTTATTTCTAATTAGCAACTAGTTTCTTAGATCGAAATTCAAGATATTTCACCTATGCAGTTATATATCAATTCAAATAAATACAAGAGTTTGAAACAAGCTTTCTTAAAACACATATCAATATATAACCATAATTGTTCATTCTCAACTAACTCATTTCTCATTCAAATACAAAGTACATAGCCACAAGACACTCAGACATGTGACCATGACTCGTTATATTAACATGACTTGCCATAACTCAATCATGTGACACGTCATATATTCTCATAAGCATGATCAAACTGTCCTTATGCCCTTCTTATTTCCTCTGATTGAAACTGTGAGCTATAATATTGAATAGGATTCCATTTGTATGATTGGATTGTCCAAGTTCACCAATTGTGAGGTGTGACCCAGCCAAAGATCACATGACTCACTCTTAGACCATGATTTTTCCCACTATCAAATCTCTAGGGTATCATATACCTTAGGCTAACCTCCTTGGTAAATTGGTGTAGATTGCTAGGTCTAGTTCCTTGACACACTATAGGACAGTCCCTCGACAAATTGTGGAACAAAGCCATACCCTCATGTACCGGAAGGTAACCTAAAATACCATATCAATTTTAACTACTCCTGCCTATTGATCATGTCATGTATGATGCTTATTATTTATTCTCAATTTTCATTTTAAAATCAACATATTGGGCTCACTATCCTGTGCTACCCAAGTAAGCTAAACATCTCATTTTCACACATCTCATGTACATCCATCATTTTCAAACTCAACACATTCATTCTTAATTGCATAACTATCACATTTCTCATTCCAATAGACACATATATTCATAGTTTTAAAAATTACTTTGAATACTAAATTTCACATTTCAAACTAAACACAACATTATGCACTTTCATATTTCAAATAGTTATTAAGGCTAAAACATGCCTTTACATTCAAAAGGTCAAACCATACTAGCCAAATTACACATTTCAAAATGGACATTGAATTAATAAACAATACCCTAAGTAGGTTCTCCCGATTACCTCAAACCTTTGAGAGGTCAACGGTTTACCCCCCAATATTCTAGCTTTCAGCTTAATTTCCTAAGCCACAATGGTGTCCAACAATTTAATCTACAATTAAACAATCCTTAGTTATCAACATTATCAAGAGCACACTATCAACTCTCACACTTTCACTTCTACCTTACCTAGCAATATCAGTTTTCACCTTTGAGCTCACCTATTAGGTTTATTAACTTTATTTAGTCCCTATTAATATTAATAAGCCATTAAATTCTCATTAATAGCATTACAACTCTTCCAATAACCCTCATTAATGTCATTTTCATATTTATGAGGTTAACCAATCAAAAATCTAAAAACTCATTATTTATAGGTTTAGATACTCCAATCTAATCCCATTAACTCCATTTGAGTTAATGGATTTGGACTCATAAGTTATATGGACTAAAAATCATCTCCCTATATCAAACCCTAACTAACAAGTAATAACTTCATAAATGTGGAAGAGATAGGGAGGAATGGAGTTTAGGGAACTTACCTTATGTGTTTCTAGCTTCAAAATATTCTGAATATCATCAAAGTATAATCCCTAATAGAGATTCCACTGGTTCTTTGTTTCCCCTTTCCTTCTCTCTATTCTTCTATCTCAGTTTGCAACTAATATTTTGTAGAAAAAGGTGCATGGCATAGCAAGGTCCCCTCTTGCTTCAATTGTTGTCTATGTGCTGCGATGGATGTATTTTATGCTGTAGCGTATGGCACAAAAATATTTCCTTCACTTTTCAATGCTCAAGTAGCCCGATTTTACACGGACCCATAATTAGGGCTGAAATACAACCAAAATTAGTCATTAGACCTCTCTAGTTACACACCACGTCAGTTACTCAATTATTATAATTAAGCTTAGTTAATTTAGAAATTAAAATTTGGGATGTTACAAAATCAATTTGAAATTAAGGGTGATAGTATATGTAATGTCTATCTTGACATTATCAGGACAATACTCTAACACGCCATTGTAATAATCAGGATTAATTAAAATACCTAAGAAAAGTTATCATAATTCAAGAGTTTAAAAGTAAATGGTTTAAGATATTGGAATAAAAAAAAAACTCTTTTGAAAAGTCATTTGAACTCAAACTATAGTTTAAAACAAATCATATGCAATAACAAAAGCATGAAAGCACAAATCAATATTTGAAAACACAAAAGGAGCAATCTAAAAAATTTTAGAATTTACACCATCTGCCATGGCACAGGTCACACCTACCATAGTGGATGGCACAGAGGGACTCATCCCTCAGCGTGTATTGCACCGTGGCATGACTATTATGGGCCTAGCACCCACTTGCTATCATAACTATACTTGAACTTTTGGAGAACACTATTTTGCCATCTGATGTCCAATTTAAGTGGTTTAAGTGTTCACATAAAGCTCTTTGAGCCCTCTAGCTAATGGTACTAGTCTTACTCTCAAATAATCATCCATTAAAAAGATATACACGCGAACTCAAAATTGTTGGCCCTAGTTAAAGGAGTGGTTGAGAGCATTTAGCCATAGCCAAAAGGGAATTGACTATAGCCAAATCCTCACTGGAAGTGTTAGCCGCGGCTTGTTATATTCTAGCCATAGCCAAGTACCCCTATTAAGTGAAAATGACCCTTTTTATCTTATTTTGACTTGTTTTCAACTCTAATTAATATTCATGCCTCCCAAATACTTTTTAATTTGATTTATAATTTTTAAATAACTTTTTAAACTCAGTTGGAGATTAAATAATTTATGGGATCTCATCTCTATAAAATTTTTCTTACTTAAACTTTTTATTTTTTATTTTGCCAAGGTTAATCCTTTTCTTTCCATTATATCTTTCATTATTGATTAAATTAGTTCAAATTATCGTAGAAGTTTTACCTTAAGGTTAATTCTGTGCTAATTATGCGTTTAATTGCTAGAGGCATTATAGATGGCAACCCAACTTTTGTGATTGGAGATCCTATGAAAAAGGTTTAATGGGTAAGAGTAAGTCACTTGTTAGTTCTGTTAGTATTAAATTCTTTTGTCCCTTCCTATGGCTTAAGAAAGTATTAGAATGCATTGATCAAAGGCTAAGCTAAAGCTTTTAATGATTTTCATAGTCCTTTTTGGATGGTGTACTTATTGCTTATACACTTAATGAAATTACTTATGCGAATATGGAGTAGATCTGTTCTTATGAGATTGTGACAAAATCTCTAAAGCATTATTTAAAACCAAGTGTGTGTATGGCCAATAATGCATAAAATTGTCATTAATAGCAGAAATTGTGGGGGCATAATCTGACTAATAAGACCTTTAGTACATGCCCAAGATCTGTTAGTTCAATAACAAAGTTACACTTTCTATGCTCTAAGTTTTATTAGTCTAGGTTTGGTTCAAGTCAAAAGACACTAAATTCAAAGTAATTATCTTCCGTGTGAATAACTAAGATGATAGTGGTCCTTTTTAACACATATGGGGGATTGTTATAGTTGTGTAAAAAAGGAAAGCCCCATGTTGCTCAAATGAATTGTGGCCTTATACCAATGTGTGAACTTGGACAAGTAAATGGGCTTAGAGGAAAAATTGGCTTATGTGTACAACTATATGCATCAAGTTAGATTTGGTTATGCGCAATTTTTTGAAATTTTGGAAACTATTTTGCAAAGTTACAAAATGTATAAAATAGTTTTTCATAAATTTTACCTTCTTTTTGAAATATGTGGGGAATTGTTGGATGTTATAAAATATTCATGTGTATTTTAAAAGAAATTATTATAATTTAATAGTATTGATTACTATAACCCCCTACTTAAATCTATTTATTTAGTTTCATGATCTTTGTAATGGATTTTTAAATGCAATTAAGGTACTCTTATGGCCTAGTTTTTTTTTTTTTGAGGTCATTGCCTATATAAAGCAGTACTTGCCATAAGTTAAAAGAAAACCTTTGAGCTTGCAATTTTCTCTCCTCTTCTATCATACTACTTCATCTTTATGTTGCTTGAGTATATTAGCTTTTGTTGTTTTGTATCCCTATTTTTAAAAGAAAGAGTCTGTTTAATCTTAAAAAGTTACTGCACGATCAATCCATTGTAACGGAATAGCTCTTAACAACAGTATCCTTGGGCACAACTCAAATTATAATTTTACTTACTATTGCCAACATGACTTATAGTAAAAATGATACGTAAAAGACTTATCATTTGTTGATTATATTTTTTTATAATGTTATTGACGTATGAGTGGACCTCACAACTTGAAAGGTAACATTCATTTTTTCACTATTTAAAATTAAGATTTCAACTTTTAGAAATTTAGAAATTAAGATAAGTTTTTGCACATTTTATAAATTTAAAGCCTAGAATGCTATGCATGCAATAATTTAGGAGATTTATTGCTTATTAACTCTTTTTTCATATGTATAAGATAATAAATGATAGAATAAAGTACAAAACTAAATAACAATTTATAAATAAAATTTTCTATTATTTAAATTTTAATTTATGAGTGAAAAACATATTTTATAATAATAAATTATTCTTTATAATTTTAAAATTCATAAAGTAACAAAATTTTTATATATAATTTTTAAATATTTTTGGGGAACGTTATATATGCTTTAATATGTGCGTAGATAAAAAAAATTAAAATAAGACAAGGTGTTATTTAAATTTTAATTTCTGGTAACCAACACATAAATTTTATATTTTAATTTATAAAATAAAATTTTATTTCTTGCCTGCACTTTAATATTTTAATTTTGATCAGAAATTGAATGCACCTCTTAAACTTTTTTAAATTAACAAAATAATTTTATTTTGAGTGCACAAAAATAAATTATTTTTAATTTTTAATTTTTAAATATTAAAATATCCCATATGCAATCCAGTTATGCCATTGCCTTAAAAGGCCGTTTTATCGTCCCGCGAAATCTAGAGTCTCTCTCCGATCCATTCACTCTCTCATCTCTTCTGTCTCTTCTTGTGGTAATGGCGTCAATTTCGGCTTTATCTGTTGGCTCACTACCTAAATGCATGGTTAGATGCTTACTTTTCCAAGCGAACTAATTTGCTGTATTCATCTAATCTCCATAGTAGCAATTAATGTCCTCTTGCTTTTCAATTATCAGGAGTCCAACAAATTTTCAGATTCCTCTCTCCGTGGTTCGTGATTAGCTTCCAATTTTTTTCCCTTTCCAGAATGAATTCTCCTATTCGATGAGATGATATTTTAGAACGCATCGTTATTTTCCGTGTTAACAGGTAAAAATAACAAGGAGTCTGGATTTGTTCGCTTGGTTGAGCGAAGAAAAGTGGTTCTCTCTTCCTTTGGGATGCTATCTGCGACATTGTTGAATAATTCAAGGGACGGAAGTGTTGCGGCGACAGAATTTGCTGACAGTAATTTTCTTTGTTCCCCTTGTCTAGATAATTGTTTGTAGGTTGACCATGAGACATTAAGCAAGTTTAGGAGCGATATTAAATTTTGCCCATCTTTCTTAAAGTTATGGGGTTAGTGATAACAGAAAAAAATAGTGGCGATGATAATATGAAAACTTAGTTTTTAAAATATGGTAGCTGGCTAGCAGTCTTTCTAAATTGCTTGATATTTAACACCTGCCAACGCCCAACTGCTACGAACAAAGGTTTTGCAGTGTTTCATTATTGCATCATGCCCAAGTATTACTGGTAACCATGCCTGTCTCTAAGTTGTTGGAGCATTGCTTTGTAAGACTTGGAATGTTTTCCAGAAAAGATTTTTATTTTTGCCCTGAATTCTGTTGCTGAACTTTGCCTCAACTAGGGAGAGCATTAGCTTTCTTACTGTAAGTGATGCAACATTTTAGCTAGTTATGATATAATTTAGGTTGCTTCTAATTTTGTGCATGTAACATTGAGTTAAATAGGATTGATGAGAGCATGAGAAATTTCATAGTTGTATTGACTTGCAGTAATGTGTTTGTACGCAGTGCCAGCGCTTAGAGGCAAAAATTATGGTAAGACAAAAATGCGATACCCAGATTATGCAGAAACTGAATCAGGGCTCCAGTATAAGGTCAATAATTGATTGGTATAATGTCAATGCTTTAGCATAAGCAATTTGTATTTTGTTATTAAATTCATATTAATAAATAATGCAGGACTTACGAATAGGATATGGCCCTAATCCAAAAGTGGGAGATACAGTTGTGGTAAGCTGTAGGCCATTAAATTTTGGTTGATGTTATTTTACAGACTATTGTGAATCTAATTTAGCCAGTTATCTTTTGGTATAGAGAGGTGCTAATTCCAAATGAACACGTTATTTTTCTCAATTTAATTAGATTTTCGCTGGAATTCAGATGGCAAACTTTCTATATAATCAAAATTGATTTTGCATGGATGGCTTCTTTGGTATGTTTCTAAGTTCAGTAGCTTGATAATAGAGAATGAAAGGAGCTTTTATCTGCCTGCACAGACCCTTTCAGGACAGTATCCTTGCCTCTTCAAATTAGATAATTGAAGCAACTTATGGACTTTAGATTCCATTCAGGTGGATTGGGATGGTTACACCATAGGTTATTATGGTCGCATATTTGAAGCCCGGAATAAAACCAAGGGTGGCTCTTTTGAGGTATGAAATTCTTTTCATCTTCTAACTTGATGTTGTACATATGGTTGATTAGTACCTTTTAACATGTAGGGTGATGACAAGGACTTTTTCAAATTCAAATTAGGGTCGCAAGAGGTAAGTCTTCATTTAATGACCAGAGTTCCTCAAAATTTGAGGTACACTTTTGTCTAGGTTATGAACATCATTTCATGAGCAGTGTTTGTATTGTATTTTGCTATGCTAGACAACAAACATAAAGTATATAGAGCTTTCTGTGTCATGATATCTAGATACAAATTTTGATGATCTTGGCGGTATGTAGAAAAGAGAAAATGGTTGAAATTCCTGGTAACATTTGATACCCTTTAGAATGCCGTGGTGCTTCTTATGTTTGGTACAATTTATCACAACTATCAGGAAAAAGTTTTTGCTAGGAGGGGGTGAGGGTGAAGCTAAAGAGGAAAGTAATGTCTTGGAAAACTATCAGGAAAAGGTTCTTGCTAGGAGGGGGTGGGGGTGAAGCAAAGAAGGAAAGTAATGTCAGGTCAAATACAAGTTTGTATTGAGTCTTTTCATAGGAAAGGCAGCTTGAAGTAATGAAGGTTCACTAACTTATCTAACAATATTTATTATGCCTCCCTTTTGCATAATAATTACCGTAACTAGAAAAGGATTTCCTGAGTTGGTAATACAAGAAATGACAAAATATTTTCTTCTGGGAGAAGAAGACTGGAGAGAGGGAAGAACTTATAATGACCTTGAGAAACTAAACAAGCAGGAAAGAAACTCACAAAAGTTACATTCTGCTATCAAAGAAGCTTAGATATCATAATTGATATTACACTTTGAATGTAGAATTTTATGTACATTTTTCAAGTTGAATGAGTGGAATTGCAACTCTATGACCATGGTTTTCTTCAATTACTCAGCTATGTTCTCCATTATGCTGATAGTTGTTAAACACTAAAACTACGGATGTTCAAGGAACTAAAATTAAACCAATTGAACTGATAAAGTAAAATAGTGGTGCTATTTTATTTTTGATGGGTCTGGGAATGATATTGTTATGATTTTTTAATTCTGACATTAATTATTTATATTGTCAAGGGAATATAGTTGTTAGGTACTATTGATTCTCTATTTTGCCCTATAAAAACCTTGCAATTCAATTGTACTCTATGCTATGACAGATCAATAATACTCATGCACTATTCAGTATCTCTCATCTATTCTCTAATCTCTCTCAATCTCCTTGTTCCTCTATCTCTCTGTTCTTCTCTCTCAATCTTCTCCCGTCTCTATACTTCTCTATCTCCAGAAATTACAAACCTACATCAGATATTGGGCCTGGCATGCGTAGAAAGAAAAAGACAAATAGGAAGGGTGAGCTGGCAGAGGAGGGAGGAACATTCTAATGAACTATGACATATAGTGGTGCTGGTTTGTTTGTGTGTAAGGGGCATGGATGCACAGTAGTGGAGAGTGCTACCTCAAATGCTAATGTGAGGCAGCATACTGTATGTGTCCTGTGTCTTTCATTTCTGTTTTCCTTTTCATCAGAGAGCTTAGAGTTGTAGCTTGTTCAATTGGGCACTAATCCCTCTTTCTTCCACTGAGATAGGGGGATTAACCAGTAACTTTGGGTAACTTCAGTTTACAGAAATAGTGAATGACAGTTCTGCATTTTGGTTAGGTTAAAGGATCGCAATTGGATGAAATGAGAACAAGCTTGGATTGGCTTAAAGTAAGATTGAACTATGGGTTGAAAAATAAATCAAGACGAAACCAATAGTTTGGTCACACAACTTTAAATAAAACCTTAAAATGAAAGCACAAGTTAATATTATTATTTGATGATAGAATCTATGTGCGCTTTTCTCTATGCTTCACTTGCTTTTTCGATGGCTCCCTACACAAGGGAGGTTTTGAAGAATGGTTGCTTATGTTCCTCGAATGTTCAGGTAATATCAGCTTTTGAAGAGGCTGTTTCAGGCATGACCCCTGGGGGCATTAGAAGGTGCTTCGTCCTTTTTCATTTCTTAGAGATTTAATGCACGTGGTATTCCTGAGTTGTTTTGTGCAATTTGTTTCTTTCTAATACAACACCCGAGAGTTTGTGAACTCTGGATAGCAGGAGTTTAAATAAAATATGTTGTACATAACATCACGAATATTATGTTAATAATTGAGAGTCTGTGACCATCAATCAAGCTGAATATTGGGTGTTTCACTTGTTTGAATTGCATCTTCTACGAAACTTCAGCTCTGTATTTGGGGGACTCTAAAAAACTCTTGGGGTGAAAACGTGAATAAGGGAATTGGTTGTTTCCGAATTTTGGGTTTAAATTCTTTCATCCTCTGATTACTATTGGGTAAATGCATCAGGGGCACATATTTCCAGAGCAACAGTTAAGTTGAGCGTGAAAAATGCAATTTACACCACCTATTTCAGTGATGCAGGATAATTGTGCCCCCAGAATTGGGATATCCTGAGAATGATTTTAACAAGAGAGGCCCAAGACCAACAACATTTTCGGTAATGATTACTTTTTTGTTTAGCCATAATCCAAGTGGAGACTTAGGAATATGCTACGCCAACTTGTTTCAGGGCCAGCGAGCTTTAGATTTTGTGCTAAGGAACCAAGGGCTGATAGACAAGACTCTCTTGTTTGATATTGAGTTGTTGAAGATTATACCAAGCTAATCGGCCAGTTTTCTGTCAGCCGCAACTCGCTTGGTATAGATTGAACAATATTTTTCTCATTCTTTGTTGGCCCGAGTAATGATAGGGTTTCTCTTTTGGAAATATTTAGTTGATGAACAATCTTGAATGTGTGATTAATAATGTGAATGCAGCTCGAGTGTCATTTGAAATATTTAATGCCTGATCGGTCTAATGTTCCTACCTTGCTACTTTTTGGTTGCAGCACATGTAGTGGATCCAGCCTCCTTATTTATAGAGAGGTATGGAGCAATATGCTTCGCTGTGTTGGGAACAACGGAAGGAGATTATTGCCTTTTCTCGGTGATTAAAAAATTTGGCGGAGGTTTTTTTTTTCTGTAAAAAAATATTTTCAGCAATGGTGCTTAGAAAACGGATCCTAGTTGTGGGTTGTTAAATTTTTTACTGTAACATTTTGTTCAAGTGATATTTGCGCATATATTTTACTAAATGGGTGTGGGAAGGAACACAATCATGTATGTGATGAGTTATATAGATATCTAAAAGGGGGCAAGAATGCAACTTTTGGTTCTCAAAGTTTCACCCAAAGTATTTTGGTAATTAAATTGATAAAATAAAAAGATACACGTTTTCTCTTGCACATGTGAAGCTAACAATGAGCATATTAGACCATGTATGCTTGGCACCGTGTTGCTTAGCTTCAATGAGACTAGCGGACTCTCAACATTGCCGAAATGAAGATGAGGGGTGGGATTGGGAAGAAGTACGCGGGGAACATTTATCAGAAGAGTCCAAAATTTGATTAAAATCCCCAATTAAAAGCCACAGATCACAGATACACATGAAGCTGTTGAGGATAACCAATCCCAGAGTAGGTGCCTAGCATTCTTAATTGGAGGCCCATAAACGGAAGGAAATTGCAGTCATTGCTTTCCCGGAAAAAGCAGTGACAATAAAATGGGTTACGATCCAAACTAACTAGTTCAGCATCATCAACCTAGCCAATTAATCCAGAGACTCAACTATTTTGCCACCGCATCAAAATCATGGTAATGATGTCATGGCCTAGGGAGCTACTTCCAATGGTCAATTTACCATAAAAAAACGCTTACGTTTTGTTAGAACTTAGAACAAAACCCGCAAACAAGATACATCTCTACATTCAAAGCAATTTGGGGATGGAAAGGGGCTGAGAGGATTATATTTTTTTATCTGGTTGGTCTTTTAAGATAATATTGATCTTACGAATTTAAGGAGATCAAAACGGGCAAACTGTTCAGCTTTATGTGATTGGTGCCAAACTAATGCTGAAGATACATTACATGTACTAAGGGGTGCAGGTTGCACCTATGTTAAACAGGTATGGGATGATCTTGTAGAACAAAGATCTCTCTCCCAATTTTTTTTTTCTGCTAAGCCCTTTGATTAGGTATTTAACCCAGTGAAGATTGGGATCTCATGTGGGGAGTCTCAATTCGGAAACTTTGGCTTTGACGTAATGAATTTATTTTCAGCAACAGATTTCAGAAGCCAATCTTCCCTATTATGACTATAATGTGTGGTGAAAGTAACTTTTTTACTTAATGTTACTTTTTTATCTATTGTTCAATAAGAGGATAAGCATGATGACTTTTGGAAGCCACCACCCTCGGGATGGTTTAAAGTTAATGTTGATGGAGCAGTTTCAACATTAAATCAGAGACCAGGACGCAGTGGGGGTAATTCGAGATCATGCAGGGAAATGGGTAGTGGGTTTCTCAAACTATTTGAGCTTTTGTAGTCCTTTTGAAGTTAAGGAATGTGCTATTTTTAAGGGTTTAAATCGTGCTTGGGCTTTGGACAAAACAATCATGTTTTTTTAAGTAAAACTCGAGAACTTCATTCATAGCAGAACAAATATAGAACAAGAATGGTTTTAAGGGGGGGTACCTCAATCAAAAAATGGGAGGTTGGTCATACGAATTGAAGTCATTACTAGAACGAAAAGCTGACTTAGCTTGATAGTCATCCATCCTATTATCCTTTATACAAAAAATAAAATTGGACATCACAATTTCTACTCAAGTAGCCTAATAGTTATCCATCCTATTGTTCCTTTATGCAAAAAATGAAATTGGACATCACAATCTCTACTTAAGAGTTTCTTGATTGAATCAGTTATAAGTTGGAAAAGATAGTAGTTATGATTGTCTCTTATGGTAGTTGAAATTGCATTTGCACAATCACAAAAAACCTCCTCAATATTAAAATCTTTCTGCCGACATAGTTCAAGGCCTTTAAAGATGCGATAACTTTAGAAATTGTTAGTGGTATTTGACCAACTTTACTGTTAAAACCCAAAATCCAACCTTCATTAATGTTTCTCAAAACACCACCACATGCATTATTGCCATTCAGGAGAGTAAAACCATCACTTTCAAGCCATATTGCACAAGGATTCCTATGAAGCTAGTAATCAACCTGTTTTAAACAATAATGTGGTGGTAGTTGTGATTTTAAATCTAAATCAGCAACTACCTTGATTCGGTTCTTCCCCCATCCAACCATTTTCCTCTTGAAACTGGTTATTATTGAGTCTAATTCTAAACAACTTGTAGACAACATCAACGACAAGAAAGACTATGCTTGCTATAATGCTGGGTCTTCGGTGTTTATGGAGATCATTCAAATTATGAAGCTTCAATGGGAGATTAAAATACTTTACACTTGATAGGGAAATTAGTCGCTTATCCTCAAAATTAAACTAAAGGTAACCCTAATACAATATAGGGTCAACCCTAGGTCATCTCCTAAGGAATAGTCTTAGTCTAATTAAAAGTTATCTAGTGAAATAAATTACCCAAAGTTGTAGGAATTTAGTTATCTAATTATTTAAACTAATTACCTAATGATTAAAATGCTAAATAAAGTGGGTGAAATACACTTCCCTTTTCACAAGAGTGGAACCCTAGAGATTAGTTGATTTTGGACTCATTATCTTCTCATGATTAGGCTAAGTTTAGCTTCCCTTTCCTCTTAATTAAAGTTGTCATGACTTAAGAAAATTATCCTAAGCCAATTAACCTAATTAGCTAACCTCCCTAGGTCTTAGATTAAAGTCCCTAATTCAATTAACCAATTGGTGAAGAAATTAGCCAAGTGATTCACTCAAAATTCTCCCTCAACAGCCATGGTCAAACACATAAATTGAGCAACCACGAGATTATGTTAAGCTACTCAACAACACAAGTATTAACACCACAAGATTATGCAATATTAATACAAATAATTCACTAATTGAAAAATACAAGATTATGTGCCAAACAAAAAGTGGCAAAATTCAGTCATGGCTGTCCAAGGAAGAAATTAAATGAAACAATTCTCTCTCTTTACATCAACATCAAATTCAAATTAGAATTCACAAGCTAAGATGATTAAACCCTAGATTAAGGAATCTAACCATCTAGTAAAAAGAGAAGAGGATAAGAAACAAAAGAACTTAGCCAATTTGAAGCTTGAGAACTCATCCTCCATCTTCATATCTCTAGGATTCCACCAAAGAAATTATCAATCTTCATCATATTCAAGAACCCTAGTGATTGCTTGTGAAGGCCAAACTCCATAGCTCTTGAATGATGGAAATGAGCTTCAATCCTTGTGAAAACGAAAGGGATGAAATGAAAATGAAGAGAGGAGAAGAATGGAATGAGTTTTGTGGAGGTTTAGTGGCTGAAAATGGAGGTTAGGGTGCTGGAAAATGAAGAACAAAAGAGAGAAAATGAAAAACACTCTGAACAAGAGAGAGAAAATGTGGAAGATGAATGAGATGAGTGTTGGATCCGAAAATGAGGTGTATGGACGTGCTCCTAAGTGTTTCCCATCATCTGAATACTGAATTAAAAAAAGGAAAAGAAATTAAAATGGAAATGGGAGCCTTGTCACACTTGCAAGGTGGCAACCTCCTATTGGTTGGTAGATGATTTCAATATGTGTGTAATTTTTCATGTGTCATCCACATCATTTAAGCTGATTTAATCCCTCAAAATAATCATAATTCACGTGCAAACCATCAGCCATTGACCTCAAGGAGTGTTGACCTTAATTGCTCAATTGATGCACAAGTCACATGCCACCTATATTACATAAATCACATAATTCAATTAAATAGCATGTGATATAATAAAATCTAATTAATGTCCAGAATTAAATTCATAATTAGAAGGGAGAATTTATTAAATTAACAAAGTTTCAGGTTTCACAAAATTATATAAAAATTTTCACACAAAGGCAAAC